CCACATTTAGTGCTCCCTGAGTTCCTGAGAGGACCATGGATCAGCTTGGCTCAGGAGACACAGCTCTCACAGAAGCCCAGTGCTGCTCATTCCTTTGTAGGTGGTGTTTTGTAAGAGACAAGGACAGCCAACTGCTGAGCTCTGAGCAGAGCATCACCTCGATCCTCAGTAACTCTTAGAAAAAAGATTGCCTCCTTGTGGGGAGGAAGTTTGCTCAAGGTTCTCCTTCCACAAAGATGAGGATATCTTAAAGAGGTAGGATCTTGTGTCTAATATAATTGTTTGGCTGTTTCACCTGCTTGTGTGAGCAGTAGTATCCCAGAGGGAGCTGGGACATACTTCTTTGTGCAGAATCAAGACACTGAACCTCTGCTTTCTGCAGAGAACTACAGGAGGCTCAAACTCCTTCAGAGCAGGTAGCTGAGATAGGGCACAGGAGTCACTTCCTCTCAAAGCAGGAGGCCAGGAGGGAAGAAGTGGCTCCCAACTGCCAATCCTCACTGATTTTGATCATGTCAGGAGCGCAGAGCCTGTGTTCTTCTCAGAGGCATGATCTATTTAATCCACTGTTTGTCAGCATGTTTCTTCAGAGTAGGACAAAGGCTTGCTACCTCTTGTTGAAGTCTAAACCATTTCCTCAGTTTGATGTTATGTTGGTTATCACTATAGCCAATGGATGTGGGTTGACTCTGGCTGATAACTAAGCCCCTACCCAGTCTCTTTCTCACTTCCCCCCAGTGGGATGGGGGAGAGAAGCAGAAAGGCAAAAGTGAAACAAACCTCATGGGTTGAGGTAAATACAGTTTAATAAGTGAGGAGAAAAAGCACAAAAAAACCCAGAAAATAAGTGATGCAAAGGCAATCCACTCACCCAGTACAGCAATTTAGTACTGGATGCAGTGTGGCTGCAGGAACTGATATGATTGTGCTGCACCTTACCTCCTAATTGTGGATAAAGAGAATTCCCTCCTCCAGAAGCCCCCCACTGTTACTATGTTTCCTCGTGCAGGGACTGTGCTCAGGCTTGCACAGGCCATGTGACTTTTACTTCAGGAGTTGATCCTGCTAAGCAATTGTAGCCACAGCTCCCTCAGTTGTTTGTTGAACAAGGAGACACTGTGGTTATAAGAAGATCACGACTATCAGCCCTGTTTTGTGATTTTGATGAGCGTTAATGGAACAAGATTTGGGGATTGAAGGAGAAAATGGAATATGAAAAGGAAAATGAAAAGAGGCTGTGAGGAAAGCATGTCATTTCTAAATGAATGCTCTGTGCAGAGGAATTGAATCTTTTCACAGCTGAAAATGGATCTTAAATCTGATGCCTTAGCTTGTTTCAGCTTCTGTAACGAAATAGAGATTTCCTAATACCCTGTGACCTGAATTTCTCCCTGCTTTATGGGTGCTATTCCTTGACGTACAAACCTGTATTTTCTCAAGTCAGCATTTGATGATGGATGTCAAAGTACAGGTCATGTATTATGCATATAGCATTACCGATTTAAGGTGTTTACTCGTCAAGTTGAAGAAATTCAGAAATGTCATATTCACTGAATCTGCACAGCTGTCACTTGTAGTTTTTCATGCCTTTAAATGAAAGTTCTGATAAAGCAGGTTAGTTTTCCAGCATTTTTTTTTCCTCTCTTCTGAAGGAAAAAAAATAGCCTATGTATAGAATTTACATTGTGATTTGGGTGCGGGAATGTGGCCTGAGGCTATATGATGCCTTGTGACTCCAAACATGGACATACAAAATCCCTAAGTATTCCAATTTTCCTTTTCCTGAAAATATTTCAAGATGTTTATATTTTTTAAAAGTGGATTTGTAGAGATGTCTAAATTAAGCAAGGTCAAGAAAATTAAACTAAAATAGATATTTCTCACATCTTCCAAGGCTATAGGATGAAAAATATTAAAACATGAGTCTATTTTTCATTCAAGGAGAAAACAAAATCCCTTTAACATGCTTCCTGCATTTCAGACTGAATGCACTGTGTGCAGTGTGCAATTACAGAGCTCCTTGACAGTCCATGTCTAACAGAAATGCCACATTTACTTCAATCTTCTAACACCATCCTAGGAAGACAAATATTTGAAGGGTTAGAGAGAGGTGGCTACAAATAGCCTTTGATGGCGAGTATGCGTGTGCATGCCTCTCTCTGTGTGCACATTGCAGTAGAGGGAGGGCAAGAAGGACTTATACATTTAAATGCAGTTATGCCAATTTGCTTTTAGCTAGAAGGGAAATACTGATGTGCTCTTACCTTCTGAAGAACCTGATTCACTGAAAGATGTTTTAGGGAGTGCATCCTGAGATGAGGAGAAACAAACCTTCAGGAAAAAGAGGGAAGCAGGCCTCTAGTGATGCTTCCAGCAGAACAACCTCTATGGTGCATGGGAACAAGATTAGTTTTCTCTACTCTCAGATGAGTGTATCTTGCTGCTGCCATTTTGACTTGTAATTCTGCAGAGGACCCATCTGGGTCTGCCACCTTAACTGGTCAAGGAGTCTACAGCTACTTGAGCTTTTTTTAATGTGCTCTGACAAAAGCTGTGTCTTGCCTTTCCTGTAGCATAACAGAATGCAAAATTTAGACACTGGAGCCTGCTGCACAAGGAGGTGTCACACTAATATCCACCTGTCCTCAGATAGCAGTCCCTCTCTTTGGAGTCCCACTTTAATTTTCCTGCTGTTGTAAGAGTGTCAGGGTTACCTGCAACTCATGTCTGTTAGACTCACTTTGTGAGTTTGAGAAATCCTAGTCTCTGCAGAAGTAAGCATTCAAAGAGCCAATATGTCTATCAGTCACAGGGCCAGACTCAAGGAAACATCTGCAAACCAACACAACTTGGGAATGCAACTCACTGTCACCATGCCAGTCTTACTGAATTAGTTTCAGCATGAGTAGTATTAAATGACCGACTTAACATTGCCAATATTTCCGATTGTCTCTAAGAAATCTGCTTTCTAAAGATTTTCTGTGCACTGGTAACATCAAATAGAATTGCTTTGCTGTCTTAGGTTTGCCTATGGCGATGTTTTTGTCTTGCAAGCCTGTTGAAGATACCACGTTCACTTCTTTTCTCCTAAAGAATTTCTTCACAGACTTTTCACTCCCTTTTTACTTATCCTGTCCTTAAAGTCTTCATGTGGTATCTAGCTTTCATGTGATAGTCAGAAGGAAATTCATATGGGTACCTTCCTTAAGGGCTAGGTAAGTCTCTTTTCAGTGATTCTAGTTTTATTACCTATATATTCTATATTTGATATAGAAAAAACATAGGGAGAAATGAACTGAATATCAAATAAAAATTTAAATCCCATTAAATCAAGCAGTCCGAATCTAGTGGTCCTTATAGTTTGTCTTGTTTAGGCATAGGTTAATAGTGATGGTAATTATCACCAGAAAAGCACCATAAATCCCTCAGATAATATAAAACTGGTACAACATGTTAACAAATAGAGTTTATTTTAGAGATTTCCTGGTTTGTAAATTAGTCTCCAAACTGAAGAAAGACAAATAGATAATATATCATCATTGATCTGCTACTGAATTTAGAAGTATGACTTCAACACAGTCAAACAGTTTCCACACTGCAAGAAGATAGTGAAGTTATGTTAGGAATTAATTTGGGTGTGATTAATTTAGAATCAGTATATGGAGAATTCAAAACTAGTTCAGACCAGTAATGACAGAGGATCAAAAGACTGTCCCTGGATGTCAAGTGTAAAGTCAAAGATCTTGGGCATAATGTGACAAAAAATTGAATGTTTTCTCAGAAATATATGTTTTAAAGTGATCTTGGCTCAATCAAATATTTTCCTAAAAATGCTGCCTTAATATTGGTCTACATGAAACCCTTAAGTCAAACTCTGGCTTCACCATCACATCTGCATTAATGACATTAAATGAACATTCCTATGCTTTCTGCAGCTTTAATGGACAAGGGAGATGGAATGCCTTAATCTCAACTGTGAATTTCCAGTCCAACTGTTGCATAGGCTTTTTAACCAAACTCCAAAAGGCTCTTCCTGGGTAGTTTTTTAAATAAATAAATAAATAAATAAATAAATAAATAAATTAAATTCTTAGTGTCAAGAGCTCCATTTCAAACTGCGTAGAGAATCAGTCTGATTCACAATATTTTTTAGATGTGAACCTTGCTGCTCTCTAGATTTTTCTTTTCTTTGAGTGCCTGCCAATATGTTTCCTCCCACCTTTGTTTCCTTTACATCCCCAAAGGTATAAAACTCTCTAGTTGCTTTTCAAGCATCCCTCTTACATACTGTTTGAAAACCTGTGTCTTCTTCCTTCCATCCTTTTTTTTTTTCTTAGAATGCGCCCTTTCATCCCAGTATAACTATAATTGTAGCCCTCTTAAAAATGCATAATATGAATGATGCACCTGAAATTACAAAAAAAAACCCAAACAACTTTATGTGCATTGTATTGCTTCTGAAAAACAGTTAGAAAATTTTAAATCCTGAATGTTGATCAAACCTAAAACCTGCTAATGGAAGCAATTTGTTCCTTGTGGTTGTACTACTGTTTACAAAAAAATATACTCTTTAAAATGTTAATTGAGGTTTAAGGAAAGGTGTTTTTTTCAGATTTATTTGAGATACTAAGAGGACAAAAATTAAACCTCTCTAATCTAAAGTCTTTAGGTGTTTATTTATATTTAAGTAAGCAATACTCTTCCCATTATGCATGTTTGGATGCAAAGGCTACCTAGGATAACAAAATAAATTTCATTTTCTCCATTATCTACCAAATATCTTACAGTAGAAATGACCTGCATATTTGTGAATGATTATGCTTTTAAGAAATAATTGTTGAAAATTAATTCTTTTTTTTTTTTTAAATGACAATTTTTTTTTACTATTCTTTTCTGAGGAAAAAAATGAATAGAGAATTCCCTGATGGTGGGGATTTTTGTAATATAATTTGTGCCGTGTAAACTTTCTCTTTTTTTTCTTTTTTTTGGTTTTCTTTTAGGCTTTACACCCCCTGGGATGGATAGGTCATCTCCAGACAATAGTCCAGTCCATGGCCTGTTACGTCAACCCTCCATTACAACAGGAGCCAACATCCCTATTATAACAGAGCTAGGTAAGGAAAGCTAAAGTTTATCCTTTCATGTACGTTCCCATATCTTTTTCCCATTTCCCTTGTTATGCAGTCTCAGGAAAATTACCTATACTGTATGTCAGAGTGCTATGTTTTCTCTTCTGATAACTGTTTTGAATTGCTCTCTCTAAAGAAAGATTAGTAACAGTTGTTTCACTTTATTTGAGTAACTGAAATGTATTTCTCTTTCCTTTGAGTTTTCTCCATTTTGTTAAATAAACACTCTATCAAACAAGATGCTTTTTACATAGTGTAACAAATAAGCAGGGGTCTTTGGGCTAAGGTTAGAAAAGAAAAAAAACACAGTAAGTATGAGCAGACATTTCCTGTTCATTTAATCAATAGTAAGAGGCCATTTGTTTATTTCTTCATGATCCAGAACTGTTTAATCATGTGTAACCAAACACTGTATAATAATATGAGACTTTTTACTCCTGAGAATATGATGATGGTAGGTAACCAGGCTCTGATTTCCACTCTAGCTGTGGGTATTTATGTTGTCAAGTGGTGTGATGTGAAGTGCAGAAGCTGTTCTGTTTTTTTCATGGCAAATACAAACTTGATTTGTGGTCCTTTGTCCTTTTATTTCTTTTTTTAGTTTTATTTTTTAGAGCCTTACTTGTCTTTTTCCCTTACTTTATTCTCTTTCTGTACTTTCTTTTCCCCCTAAATACTTTACTTATTAGCTAAGCCTGGCAAACTTCTGCCTTTGGTTTCAATCAGTCAGGAAAAAAACAGTGGAACCCACATTCTAATGATAACTGAACTGGGTAAGAAGTGCCTTTTTCCTTCACATCACTGTCTTATTTTCTGTTGTTGTTGTTCTTACTGTCATCAGCTTTTCCTTTATTTATCTGGCTGTATCAGAGGGGCTACCCTCATAGCACTGCTTTGAATGTGTTTTATTTGTGGTTCTGGTTGAAATTGACTGTCTCGTTCTGGCCTTTCTTAATGATTTTTTTTTTTCACGCAGCATCAGTAAACCTTTGATCACACTCGCCTGACCTGCCGGCTGTTTTCATAGCACCTTCTCACCAATTCATTTTCTTTGGCCTGGTTCCCCACCTCCCGGGCCCTTCCTCCCCTCACCAATTTTTCTCTCCTTTTCTCTCTCTCTTTCTCTTGCTCTTTCTCTTCTTGTTATTTCAGCCTATTGTCAATATGCTGAACATGCCTTAGCAGTTCTCACAGGAAATCTAAGAAGAAATAAAAGATACCAGAAAAAACAAACAAACAAACAAAAAAACCCCACCACAAACAAACAGCATCATACTTTCCCTTAAGCTACTTTTTTGTTTATTTTGCAGAGTAGGACTTTTCTCAGAAGCTCAGGTTTTGAAGCTGTAAAACAGCAGCCACGCTTCTGCGGTGCTCTCTTTCATTAGAGCGCTCACCAGCTTTTGCAAGCAGTATTTGATGAGCATTTCCTATGGTGCAGCACCGCACATTAAGCCTACCTCACCTAGTCCAGAGGCTTTTTGTAGAAATCCTAGCATGCTAACTTGCATCAGGATGATAAAGATATGGAGGAAAAAACACACTTGCAGAATTCATGTTAGATTTGTTGTACCTTGGAAACTGACACCATTCACGGCTAGCAAGGTGGTGTCAAAGTCAGGTATTAGTCTGCCAGATGTAAGTGGAAAAAGAATGATATTGTCAATAGTGCTTGCTCTCAACTAGCAAATTAAACTAAGGCACAAGCTCTTCAAAAAGTACATTTTGAAATGATACATCAGGCTTTCAAGTACTATTTTGCTCAAGAATCCGGAGAATAAATTGATAGCCATTGTACAAAGAAAGAAGTATTGTGGATATTGGTGTTTGCTAGGATGAAATTCTTCTGACTCCCAGGGCAGAGCACTTCTCTGTTTATAACACTGAGGTGTTATGTTTTCATAGTTACATCAGGGAGTGGGAAGGCAGGATTTTTAAATCTTACTTCAGCTCAGGTACTGGCTGAATGATCATGCCTCAACAGGGCTCTCAATGGAGGATAACAATTCTCATGTCTTTCAGACAGGTGTTGTGAGACTTCATCAATAGTTATGTTTTGTAAGCTAAGCATGGCAAGCATAGTAGTATATACAGGTTGGAAGAAGAGTGGATGGAAAATGAAACTATATAGGAAGCAAGATCAGAACATCAAGCAGAAGTTCTAACCTAAGAAGTCCAGAGCCAAAACCCAATCAAGCTAATGCAACTCTCAAGTTGTTTTCAAAGCTCACTGGGTTGATTCAGGAGATGTGTTTCACATGGGGATTAGGGACATTGTCAATGTGTACAGTTTCTAATGCTGAAAAAGTTTTAATTTCCCTTCTTTGCATGGGAACTGAAATTAATTTGTCATTTAGTAAGTTAAAGAGTATTTTGGTGGCATAGCTAAGCATTCTGTGCTTTCATGTCAGAGGAGGACTAATATGGAAATGAAGTCCTTCATGAAATATGATCCACTTAATATACTGATCTCAAGGAAACTATTTTTAGTGGAATGAGGTGGAAGCAGAGAACTTAACTGTGACAGTGAAATGCCAGAGAAAGTCTAAATGACAAATATTACTTTATTTGGGCTTTTTCTTTAAAACAGCCTGATGCAGATTCTTCTTCACACTGGCTAATACAGAAGTGAAGTTATGGAGACAAATATTTGAACAAAAGGCCTTGCGCTGCAAGACAATAGCTGGAGTATTGCTCATTCATTCAGATAGATGCATGTTAAAAGGACAGTTTATCCTCTTTAGAGCTGTAAGTGCATTAACACCACTCCAGTAAGAATCACAGCAGCACGTCTAACAGATGCCTGTGGGCTATATCAGAGTTTTATGGACAGCCTTTATTTTACAGTGGCGTTCTGTCTTGGTATCTTGTAATAACATTTCACTGTACACATGCATACAGCCTCAGCCACTGTACCCGACCAATGCCAAGATTGTTTCAATATATGAAAGAGCATCATGTATGTCATTTTGAGTGCAGGCACCTGGTGCCACAGAGCTACTTTTACAACAAGGTGATAGTCACCTCTCAAAAGTGAGAGTGTCACCTCCTACAAGCAAGATAATGATCAACAGATATTTTTAAATGCACATTTTCACATCCATCTTGATTTCATTTTCAGTGACATCAAAGACACAAGTCTGTGTTTCCAGACATGCCGTTTCTTTTTCTTTCTGACTGTCTAATGTGTAAGGTCACATGCTGGTGACCCAGAAACACCTTGTGATTTTATTATTATTATTATTATTTTCAGTAAATGATTCAAATGTTCAGTTCTTGGACCAAGATGATGATGATGATCCAGACACAGAATTGTATCTCACGCAGCCCTTTGCATGTGGAACCGCATTTGCTGTCAGTGTGCTGGACTCTCTCATGAGCGCAGTAAGCAAACAAAACCTTTTTCATTCCCTTCCATCAGACTTATCATGAAAGAGTATAAAAGCGTAGTCCCTTTTCCACAGGTAGTCAGGAGTAGACACTTTTCTCTTAGATGTCAAGAGACTTTCAGTGCCTAAATTAGGTTATTTTTTTAGTTGGACACAGAGACCTTAAAACAACTGAGATATCTAGGACTACCATAAATCCACAGTTTTAAGAGCAAAGAGTCTCATGTCAGGCTTTAAGGATAATAATTTCCAAAAAATATTGTATCTCTCTCCTGAAACCTAGACCCAAATTCAGTGTGTCGGTCCCTATGCTCACCATTCATGTCAGACAGCATCAACCATGTTTTAAGCTTTTAATTTCCTGTAGCCATGAACAATGCTCTGAGTATAAGCACTGGGGGACACTGACAGAACTATACGAAAGCCATCACATGAACTCTACTTGTGTGAAGAGAGGTCATCATCTCTTTTTCACATGAGTTGTTTTGTGAATCAAAACGTAAGTGCATGCCAGAAACTACAGATGATGGCCTTTGGTTATGTCTACATTAGGGTTTTTAGTCTGTAGTCACAGTATTGTTTTGAAGCAAACACCTTGGTCATACTTCATTTCATCCTCCCTTGCTTCATATTGGCTGTTTTTTCAGACCAGTCTTGCTTTGTGTGAGCTGCACGTCTTTCAGAGGGACCTTAAGCTCTGCTGGATGAAGCAAGGACATAGTCTTTTTCAAATCTGAGCAGTCATTCTGAGCTCCCCATGGAATAAAGTTCTGTAGTGCTGGGAATCATCTGTTATAAACACCAAGTAATATTAGAAATGCGCAAACGGATTTCCTTAAAGGAGCCAAATCTGACCTTCCCTAAACTCAGAATGAAGCTTTTTGCTTTAAAGAAAAATTCAGTGATCCGGATTATTTAATATTTTATTCGCTTTTCATATTTATATGTCTGTATTTCATATTTTTATTCCCTGATTTGTTCCTCATATTTTCCATCCACAGATTAATAATATCACTCTACACTGATAATATTATGTTCTAATGCAGCCTAGGAGTTTGCAATAAACTCTGAAAATACTTTTTTTGAAAGTTATTTGCCATATTTTGCAGATGCGACAAATTCAGAGCACACTTAAAGTCTGTACCTCTGTACCTTCTCTAATTAAAATCTCTATGTATTTTCACATTATAAATGGGAATAATTTAGCATTAAGGCTTGAAACTGTTATGGCAAGACCTGTGTATCTACTCACATGGTTATCTAAATCAATGTCCCAGAATTAACTGTTTAGTAGGGCACTTCCAGGATCATGGGAAAAGTAGGGTTAATTCTTCTGATTGCCACTGGCATCACCACAAAAGAGAGCGAAAATATTGTGGACACTATTGCTTTCTTGTGCAAAGGTATGTCATGTAAATAATGAGGCAATAAGAAACACATGGACCATGACTGTTCAGAATTTTTTACTTGGAACTCATCATATAATCCTCACAATATTTTTAGTTGTTGCTAGCTTTTATTAACTTACAGTTTTTGACAACATGCCTCTCTGCTTCTGCAATTCTTTTCTTCAAGAGTCTTTTTTTCAAATGTTTTCACATCTAAGTGGTCATATTATATGTCAGGGACAGTGCAGCCTGAAGCCAGAGAAGTAAATGTGATAACAAGAGCAGAAGAGTCTAACTTAGGAAAAATACTAATCAAGAAGACAAGCCAAGGATTCAGTCACTTAGAATTGTTCACCATCCTGTCTTTCCTTTCACCACTTTGCTGATCGGTAGCAGCATTATTTTCTCTTTTATTCCTCAAAGGCCTAGTAAAGAGTTTGAAAAGTACAATTCTTCCTGACCCTTCAGAAAGTGTAAGATGTGTGAGATGTTTTCCCTTCACTATCCCTGTTCTCATGGGAAGGATGTATTCTCCTTTTACTTCTTCTCCAAGGAAAAGAGTGTGTCTCACGCAATCTAATCTACTTGCAGTATATTATCTCTTGGTTTGTTGGGGTTGTTTTTATTTCTAGAGTACACTTGTTTTTAGGGACCAGCTTCTATTTCTTCTGTCTTACTTCAAGCCAGTACTAGCAAACTGAACCCAAAATCCTATCTAAATGATGAGATCTACAGTCATCCTTTCATCCTATTAATTTCACAGGAATTCTGTAACAAGGAAGTAATTCACACTGTGCTGGCCTGTACCAGCTCACTTTGAGACAAGGATATAGCTCACTATTAGATCCATTTAATGATTCAGGATTTTTTATTGCTTGATTTTTATAGAAAAGTTCCAATTTATGATCTCTGTTGATATCTCTGGAAGGCAAATTCCTTGTATGGTCTACAATATAAACATACAATGTATGAACTGCTACATTAATATTGAATGTCTTCTCACAGTAGTGGGGTTTTGTAGTAAAACAGGTATAAGAAAGATTAGAGAGTAGAATAAAACCCACACATGCTGTATTCTTTCTGACCTGCAGGTAATTTGAAGCATACATATATATAAAAAAAGAGATACAAAATAGATTTAAAATAATTTGTTAAAGTATTCAGTTATTGAATAGTGATAATTCAACAGTATTTATCAGCATTAAATTAATATTTTATTTTACATATTTTTTTAATATAAAAGTAGTGGACTAAACCCTGCTCATACAGATTAGAAAATGTGTTGTCACTTTCTTATTCAAATCTGAATGCTGAAGTTCATTACGTTCTGCTAGTTTAGCATCATTTCCTATAAAATAACAGATATTTTAGATTTGAAATTGTCTGTTATTTTCTTACTTCAAAGATAAAAGGTTTAATGAAGTTTACCTTTCAAAATACTATCTACAGGCTATCTACACACAGTTTGCCCTCTGCTGCAAAGGCAATATATTCCACAAGCCTGTGATTCACAATGTGGTAGTTTGAAGATCATTGCTCAGAAGACAATAATGAGCTCAAAAACTGCATTGTCTTTTTTATGAGTTGGTAACAGTGGTCTCTCCAGGCTTCAGTTAAAGTGCATTATTGTACTCTGTGAAGACTCTAGGCACGGTTCATGTTTTAAGTGTGGCAGTGGCTATTGTTAAATCATGCCAGCTAATCATTATTATGTCTTTGAAGAGACATCTACTGCCATCAGAGACTTGAATGATATATTAATATTTGTTTTGTCATAACATATGCAAGCCCAGGGAAAGAATAAATGTAGCCTGTCAGTCTCAAGGTGGCGCTGCTCCTGAAAAGCAAAGCACATGCTCATGTGCTCTCAGCCAAACTGAATGTGGCTAAAAACATGGGATTGGCAGCACCTTTTAGATAATGTGGGTGTTTTGTAAAAATATTATCTACAGCTGTAAGAAAGTTACGTGACACAGGATAGCTTAAGAAAAGCAAATTTTTGAGAAGTACTTTTCCCTTTTCTGGATCTTGTTGAGATATTCCAGAAAATCTTGTGCATGCAAGGAAACCAGTTTTATCAACACGTAGTACCTTCAAAGGTTTCAACAGTTGACCTGGGAGCCAGAGCTTCTCTGTTACTCCTTTTAGTGCTGAAGATACGAGAACTAAAAAAGTTCTGGCAGGTTGCATCCCTCCCATACATACTGCTGACAGTAGACTTGATACTGTCCAAGTGGTACCGTTAGAGGCAAGGATCTCTAGAAACAGATTATACCATTTAACATTCAATATCCTAGAATTTATTTCCTTCTTCTAGAACTTCATGTCTTGATTTTTGTTCTATAATACTAAATTCTATTTTTTCTTCATATAAACAAAAGCACAGAATGGAAGACAATAGTTAAAGCAGTTAAAAATAACTTTTCAGTATACTGCTTACTCAGGAGTTCTCCCTCAGGGATCCTCAAAGTCTTATTTACACAGAAAAGAAACGTTTCTAATCTATGTCATGGACATTTTGAAATGCAAGACTATTTTTTATGCAAGTCTATTCAGGGGATTAGCAAGCAGCGTCTTGTAACCCAGTGTACCAAACTTCTTTAAAATTTGGACAATATTTTGAGACGCAGTAGACTTTTTCAGACTGTGAAACACTTTTATTATTTTTCTGCTGTTGATTCTGTCTCAGAGGCCTTTTTATTTTTTTTACAAGTTACTGATGTTAGCTCAGTCATTCCTCAGATTTGGATATATATTATTCGTTGAACAAGATTCCTCAAACTGAAAAAGTAAAGCAAGTTAAAATATTTGTTTGAGAGCAGTGTTAAAAACTGCATGGAGTGGAGGAGGAGTCTTCTTAAAAGAAATCCCTATAAAAACACTAGAAAACACAAAAATGGCAGATATTACTTGGAAAATGACATTTTTTGAGTAATTATAAATGAAAGGCAAAGTGCTATTAAAGCAATGTTATTAAAAGATGTGCTAATTTTCAGTTAAATTTTCTGTAAAAGACCAATTAGTTTAAAAGGCTTGACAGCATTAACTGCAAAACATAAGCACTCTGGTAATTATACTTTAAAAAATGATTCAACAAACGGGAAGGCATCCCTGAAATGTTTGAAAGAGCTGCACTACAGTTCTGGAACATAGGCTAGGTGGCACTACTAGCTCAGATATCTATGTCGAATTCCCTTGCTTTTTACCTAGTTTCGGTGTCTATGATGCATTCATTTCCTTTTTTCTGTGTTTAGACTACATCTATTTAATGTTCTCAATCTGGATGCCAATTATAGGGATGTCATACAGATGTCCAGTGTGTGTTCAGTTAATGGCAGTAGCAAACAAGCATTTCTTCAGTTATGATTTTACAGTCAACAAAAGGGATTCACTACCATCACTGGAAAGTGTCTCGTTACTTTTAAGTACAGCACCACCTTTCCAAAGACATTCTGTAGATCAGTTTCTTATAAGTACTGGCATATCCAGGCCATGCACCCTCCCACTGAGCAAGTAGAAGATCACTCTGAAATTAATTTCAGTGTATTACTATTCCAAAGGAAATGGATATCAGCTAGTGCAGCTTTTCAGTGTCCCGCAGTACAAAAGAGGTAATGAGAGGAGTCTGATTTTTGTGACAGTTGAAAGCATCGACAGACAGGTTTGTCCTGAGGAGTGTGAAATATATTAGTACAGGAGAAAGCAACCCTGTTTAGCAGAAGGTGACAAGTTACAGTTTCCTATTCACCCATCCTTTCTTACTTATGGTTGGGCATTTTCTGATGGTTGCAATGCCAGAGCAGTCTGCCTTGAAAGTTGGAATCTTTTCACTCATTGATGGCAAAAACCACAAAACTCATCACTTGGCCGTGCTCATCCATCTGATTAAATGGTGACATCCACATTGGTCATGGTGTGAAACCCGAATTAAGCCATTGTTCCAAGATAAATGTTGCCTCCTTTGCTAATAAGTGTCTTAGCTTCGCTTTAACATTTGTCTAGCAGTGGGAGGCCTTTCTCCAGTGACAGGGTTCTGTTCCATGGAGAATAGACCTGATTCTTTTCTCATTTGCATCACTTTCATAGTAGTGTATGGCTCCCAGAGTTACTCCAGTTGGCACATAAGTCAGAATTGGGCCCATTACTTCTTAATTGCACTAGTCTTGGGGGAGAGGGTGTTTATTTTATTTTGTTCTATTTTATTTGTATTAATGAATTTGTGACAGGTGCCTGACTTCATACATTATTTTACCAACGCTTTTATTTCTCAGTTTAGTATGAGATCTGTAGTAAAAGGAGCAATATGGCCACAGTATAATTTCTTAGTAGATCATGCTCTAGTGAGCTACAACTGAATTTACAATAAGGGGTCATTGTGCACTTGCACAATACAAAATGCAGATGAGCTAAGAGAATATATAATGTTTAAATTTTGGATTCTGGATATAGTTGCCCTAATTTGATTTACAGAGAGAGAGTCGGAAACCAGCAAAGGCTGGCCTAATGATACCTCCTAAAGAGTAATAAAATTATTAGTACAAATTTTGCATGTTTTACTAATCCCTGCAACTCAGCAGTCTATACAAACAGGCTATTTTACACAGAGCAGCATCCATCAGTGTTAAAGCAGGTGAATGTTTCTTACCATAGTTGGCCTCATTGTAAACCAGACCTAAAAAATCTACCAATAAAGTATATGCTTTACTTTTGTTTCACGTTCTTCTATCTTGACTTATAGATGAAAAACTGAGAATAGAATTTCTGAATAATACTATATATCACTACTTAAAGAAGAAAAGGGAGTCAAAAATGCTGAATTAAAGTGGGGAAGGCATAAGAAAAGACACTATTGCGGAAAATGGTATGCTTCTGTGAAGATAAGTGCTTGAAGTGCCATACAGAATATGTTGAAGCACATTTTTACTGAAAGGGTTTTTTCAGCTTCTACAATTGCAGTGCCTCCAACCTCTAGATGTGGCAGTATTTGGCTTTATATCCATGAAACTGGTGTCAAGTGACACTATTGCCTAACTGCAGGAGTAAGAGAATTGTGCCAATTATTTTAGTTCTGAGTGGTATATAGTATAACAAATGCTAAGAAAAGAGACTAAAATTAATGCCAATTTTTTTTTTTTTTTACTGAGTACTTCCATGTTGGAAAGGTATAACACAGTGGGAAGAGTTGCCAAAGAGGGCAACTCTGATTCTCACCTCAGGGACATCAAGGAAGAAATAACTGAAGAATAAACAATCATGCCTGAATGTCTTCTCTCTCTCACTACAGCAATTCCTACTAAACATCATGTAATCACTCCAGACTTACATTCCTGCAGGGGATAACATTGATTTTGCTATATGTTAAGAAAGGTTTGAGTGCCTCCATGTATGTAAGAGCTGGTTTGAGATTAGCTGTTGCTTTAGACTAACTGAATCTTCCTGAACCCCTGCTAATGACAGACAACTCTTTACAGTACACTTTGTATTCAAAATATGTAGTGCCTTATTGAAGCTAATTTAAAATAATTTGAGTTGATGGGATGCAAATATTTGCTTTAGGGCATGTATAACAATAACAATATGTTCCTCTCAATTTAATCAACAGGTGAATGGTATATATGCCTATATAAATAAGCAGAGAAGCTTAAAGTTATGAAACTTTAGTGTAACTGTGAAAAACGTTGATGCATAGAATTAATTTTCTTCTCTTTTATCTGTCATCTCAAGTGAACAATAAAACTGAAGTTTCATTATACAAAGAAAGAATATCAAAGTAACATGGATAGGAAGCCAGTTCTGCTTTTTGATCTCAGGATAAAATATTTCAACCTGTACCTCAGTTTACCCATGTATTAAATACAGTTACTTTATATGGATAGAGCAATGAATTTCATTTAAAAGTATTATTTTAAAAGTATTATCTTTGGATAACAAGCAGTGTTTGAAAATTCAGTATGCATTTTCACTTGATTGGATTACAGACAATTTTTCCAAGTCCTAAATTCAATAAAAGTCACAAATCTAGGAATGGAATTCACAAATCCAGTAATGTCTATCCTGTGTACTCTACAGTGAGCTCATTTTCTTCTTGTATGTCCCCCATGCTTGCAGCACTTCTGAAAACATGGATATTAGTGACATTGTAAGTGATGGGGAGTCTTATTTTTGTTCAACATTACTTTTCACCTAGTATATTGCATTGCAGAGTATCTCTGAACTATACCAGTATACTTTTAAGAGAACTTGAAAGTCATTCATCTGGCATTAAATTAATATTTAAATACCCATTGTTTGCCTGACAGACCAGCAATGCTACAGATGCTGGCAAAATGTCAGTGTGGAGTAAATCTTCCCTAATAAACCACACTTACCCTATACCCTAGAGTTTTTTAAAAGGACCACCAGGATCCTAAACTCATCATACATTTATCTGGAATGAATTCAAGATGTTTAATTGATACATGCTTATGTCTGAACACTGTCAAGTCTCGTAATAAGATGTTTAGTACAATACACTGGTTAGACTGCTAGAGTCCAGCCACAGTAATAAGTAATGACATTTGCAGCACAAAGGCAGGTCCCCAACGAATTGGTGACAAGAGTAAAAAGGCAATCTAGCTTGTGTAAGCCTTAAATGTGGTCTGAATTTTACAATTACATGTCCTAAAGCCCATTATTAGACATGAAAGCAATAAGAAGGAAAGCAGTCATTGCATCACTACTAACACCAATTATAGGAAACATAAATCATTCAAATTTTTGTACTTTAATAAAAATCGGCCTGAATTGGTGTTTTAAGGGAAGGATATAGTATAGGAGCCTAATGGGATAAAAGAAAATAGAGTAATTGGAGGCTGCTGTCTTTTCACTTCCTATATAAAATTATTTGAAGAGACAGCCAAGAACTTTAAACAGCAGAAACCCAGAAAAGTTGTAATTTGGATGTCTTCAGTTGTGACTTTAATGGTGTTTGCTTAAAGAGCTTTCTTTTATCTCTGCAGACATACTTCAATGACAATATCCTCACACTGATACGGACATTGGTAACAGGAGGAGCCACACCAGAGCTCGAAGCACTGATTGCCGAGGAAAACGCATTGAGAGGAGGTTACAGCACACCCCAGACACTTGCAAACAGGGACAGGTGTCGAGTTGCTCAGTTGGCTTTGTATGATGGGCCATTTGCAGACCTAGGGGTAAGATCATGAAGGAAATGTAGGACCAAGGCTGGTTTGCAGTCTATTTGTTTTCTCTCAGACTGAATTATAAAGCTATCTTAATTCATGTGTAATTTCCATTATTTAATTTAATAGAGCTTTTGGATCATTTGACAATTTACAGCACAGGATGACAGGTTTGCTTTTACCCTTTTCAAGAAGCTATATGACTTCTCAGACTCCTTGTCTTGGATATTTCATACAGAAAATCCTGTGGCTCTTCTTAGTTGTCAGCTAAAGAGATGCATGAGCTCATTCTATTCTTATCAATAATCCATTGTAAACATGAGCAATATGTATACCTTTGTTGGGCTTTGATAAGCTTATTTAGTCTTTACATGGAGCTTCCATACTTAAAATATGCTTCCTTGCTTAACATACACTTATTAGCTTGAAAACAAAGCTATAAGGTTTTTCTCTTATTTCTGGATGAACTAAAATTCTTGGGAAATCCTAATTTTCTGACATTTTGACTCCACTAAAACCCCAAACCAAATAAACAAACCATTTTTAGAAAATTGCACATTTGGATAAAGGAGTATCTAAAAATATTTTCTGGACCAAATCTTGTAATCTTGAGGTGAATTCCAAAGCACCCACTTCGCTTTGATGATGATGTAGGATTTGGTATTTCTTAGATTATTCTTGTGTTCACCAGCTCTGTTCAAAAACAATGGAGCAACTTTCTTCACAGAAATGACAGAGAATCACAGTTTAAGGATTAAGGGCAATGAAAGTACACAGACAGAAGTAAACAGACTTTCAGTTCATGTAGAAGTACATTCACAGTTGAGACTAACAGCTCATCAGAACACTTGGGCATATGGTGTAACATTTTCACAAATAAAACAAGCAGTACCAATCCTTCAAATGCTATTTTGCCAAAGCCTCAATTGCTCTACATCAGTGAAGGCAGACAGAATGCATTAACACTCAATCATTACTTAAGAATCAAAATTTTAGATATACAAATTATGAAATATAAACTTTTTTTTGCTAATCAAAATATTTATATTGTTTATTAAATATGGAATACATTTCATCATTGTTTTAAAGTAGGAAATATTTTACTATCCTTTTAACCCCTCAGAAATCAGATTTCTATTGTGCTTCCCAGTGAATTTATTTGTCTAGGTGACAGTATGGCTACTGCCAAAAAAGGGTCAAAAATACTAACAGTTTTAACACCACAGTTAATGTAATTTATAGAATATGAATTGTTTGATAGCAAAATTTATATTTCCAGCTTAAAGCAAATCACTCACTTTTCCCAGTTTACCATCATTTCATGGACCAAGGCTCTCCAAACTAATGATCAATTTACATAATTACTTATTTGAAATAAAACATTTAGATTATTCATTTCCTTGGGTAAAAGATTCTCATTCATAGCAAACAACATGCTGCCTATACATTGTCCTTTTTGTACAGGCTCATACTGAAAATCCTGTTCCCTGACACTGTGTTAACAGAGAAAAGAAAGGAAAATGTACTGTTCTCTCTCTTTTTTCTTTTTTTTTTTTTAATCCCCTCTTCTTTCTCCTAGGATGGAGGTTGTTATGGAGATCTATTTTGTAAAGCACTGAAAACATACAATATGCTTTGCTTTGGAATTTATCGATTAAGGGATGCACATCTAAGTACTCCCAGCCAATGCACTAAACGGTAAGTCTAGTCTTTTAGAACACTATTCTTCAGTCTTCTCAGTGAGAAAGATCCCAGCACCTGTAATAAATTTTAAGAAGTTTTCTCCATTTTGTACATAACTTTACCACAAAAGCTACTTGAGGACTTTATGATGACTCGGCTGAGTTTAAATCTTAGGCTGGATATCATTACATAAGTTTTCAGATACTTTTAACAAAAAATCTTTAAAGTAAATTTTCAGACCATATCTTTCTCTTCTTTGATTTCTGATGATCCACTGCTTGCATACAAGGGAAGGACTTCAGTTTGCTTATATCAGTCAGCTGTAAGCTACTTGATAGTAATTTAGATTATAGTAGCTAGACTTCCTTCTTTCTGAATGCTCAAAAAATACTCATCTGGGTTTCCCATTGGTACCATCTATATCTAATCATAATTTCTTCCAGTAAATGAAAACCCTTCTCTGGTAGGCTGCATTTTTATTTCAGTAGGACCAAGGCTGACCTCAGTGCTTCAAATAGAGCAGATACATTTCCATCTTTGCAAACTGAAAGCCATTTAGCAGCTTACTTGAAATGTGTCTTAATTAAGTTCCTACTAGAAGTACACACATAACAATACCAGAACTATCACAAATCTACCACTGGTTCATTCTCCACAAGAAGTATCATTACTGAGTGAACATGGCAGTAAAACAACCCTTCAGCCGACCAAAGTGGTTTCTTTTGTAAGGATTTGGACAAATTGGGTAGAAAAAAATATTTTCAGTTTAGATTTACACTGTAATTGCTATAGTTGGGATTCTTTCTTGGATTTATAAGTAACTCATGTCCCTGAGGCAGCTAAACCAGATTTCTTATGAGGACTGAATTAATTCAAAATGAAGTTGTGAGCTTCATGATCAATTTTTATTCATTTGTTGCTTGGACAGAAAATGCCTATTGCCTTGCTGAAATATGTTTTTTACATGCATGAAAAAAAATTATCAGCCGGGTCTGTAAGTCCTTCCTACCCTGAAAAGGGGTTAGTTGAAGATGAGGAGTCTTTAAATTGGATAGAATTTTTATTTCAGGCCTGGGATGTATACTTAGCAATGTTGGATTCTTGGATGTGCAGATTTCTCTTTATGAATGCTCTTTCAGGCCATGAATGTATATGTGGAATGAATTAATGTCACTTCAAATTTGCTGATATATTTTTCTTAACTTATTTTATGTACCATCACAATCCAAACAAATAATTACATCCCTTGCTCTATTGGCAGTATTTAAATATTTAATAAATATATAGTAAATATATATTTTCCTCCTCTCCATGCTTTTCAGACATCCTTTTAAATACCGTTGCTGGTGGATATGTTACTGGGTTTTGTCAATATGTAAATCTGTTTGCTAGTCATTGCATTACCATGCAGCTAGAGAAAGGAGGGTGATTTGTATGGTGTCTTCTCTGAAAAATCATGACATGATTCACTTAAAGAACATCCTACTTAGACAGTGCAACAGAAAACATACAAAAAGTGATATCTGACATAAGAAGGTCCTAAATCATAACAGGTATCATGTGAGCTAAAAATAGGTACACACTGAAGGAAATAGAAATGCAAAAATCTGGATAAATGCTCATGAGAAAAAACTCCAGAAGAAATATTTTTAGTACAAATCTAATCTATCTTTCTTTTTTTCCTTTTTTCTTTCTTCCTTCCTTCCTTTCTTTCTTTCTTTCCAGTTATGTTATCACAAACCCACCATATGAATTTGAGCTTGTGCCGACGGACTTGATCTTCTGTTTGATGCAATTTGACCACAACGCTGGCCAGTCCCGGGCCAGTCTTTCTCATTCCTCCCATTCCTCCTATTCTTCCAGCAAGAAGAGCTCATCAGTTCACTCCATCCCATCAACAGCAAACCGACCGAACCGCACCAAGACCAGGGATTCCCGGGAAAAACAGAAGTATGTGCAGGAAGATAGACTTTGATATGTGTATCTACTCCCACTGTGTGTGAAACTTGCATTCACCACCCATTATCCCCACTTAATGTTTCCAGCAGTAATGTTCACTGTTTTCCCATGGAATTCTCCCTTTTTGTATACATATTTTGCATATGTATGACAGTGTGCATGTGATTGTCATTTTTATTTCACCACCATAAAACCCTTAAGCACAACAGCAACAAAGCAGACGGACCAAAAGTTATTTATGATGCTAGGGGAGAAAAAAAAATTCTAAACCCATAGGCACACTGAAAACATAAATAACACTGCAGTTACTCTACATATCAGAAAATAGAGTATATTTAACATAAACACTTGCTCTTGATGTCAGAGTTACACAAAAAAAGTTATTTAGTGCAGAAGTGTTGATGTATGTTGTGGTAATTTTTTTTATATTCATATTTACAGTAGTTGCTACATTTATATGAAGCTCATAAAACTAACCCATTAAAAAACTAAAAAAAACAAAAAAAAAACCAAAACAAAACAAAACAAAAAACCCCAACAAAAACAAAACACAAAAACAAAACAAAAAACACACAAAAAAAACCCAAAACCAAACCAAACCCACAACCAAGAAAAATCCCTTCTGATTTTTCACACTCAAAGCATATATTGTATAGGGCTTACGCTTTGTATAGATTATTGCTACGCACCTGCTCTATACCAAAGCAACATCAGGGACTTTTCTGTTTGTTTAAGGACTTTCTCTAAAATACTAGTCTTTTGGAGATAGTGTCTTTTCCCGTTAACACTGAAATTGTCTGGGCATGGAGTTGTAAAACTCCAGTGGTTTAATTTAAGTTTAGAAAGAGTCTAATTGCATATTAAATTATTATTCTGTCTATTTATACAGCCACATGAATCGCTATATTTTCTTTCACTTTTGACATTTGGGATAAAAAGCCATATGTATCATAAATATTGGATGTAAGTCATTAAAAGCTGCCTTCCTGGGACTTTTACGTCTCTAAAAGGTGAATTAGTCACCTTATGTACAGAATAAATAATGCTCAGAAAAGAGCAAGCATTTTTCTATGCTTAAGTATCAGATCTCAAGAGACTTTGTTCCTTTCCCCAGATGGTAGTTTAAGTTTTCCATGTTAGAGTGGTGGTATAAATCTTCCAATGAGAGTCCCAATATGCGAAGATCCTCCAGAAATCCTGTTCCATGTTCTAGCTGGTTCTTTTCAACAGGTGCGTGCCAATACACAAGAATATAGGGGAAGGCAACTGAGTGCCGTTAAGGTCTCTTTCATTTGAGAAGAAAAGGTGCTGTGCCCTAGACAGCTGATGAGCAGAGCAAGAGGGCTGGGGTGGAAACACTGTGCTGAGGCATCATGTTCTAGGCATTTGCCAGAGTTTAGTTGTTGCAGATTCTCACCAATCACACACCTAGCCAAACAAAAATTGTGGCAGGGAATTAAATAAAGTAGTGGAAAGGAACCTATCTTAGACCGCCATAGAAATGATACTTCAAGCTTGGTTTTTTTCCCTAATTTCAAATGCCAAGCTTTTGAAATATAGAACTAGTTCTAGGAAGTATGAGGAGTTTCCCAGGATAGAGAGGCCAGAAACACATACCAACATCCCTGGCTATTCAGCAAGAAAGCATGCAGACAGAAAATAAATATTTGGATGTGGGAGTGATTAGCGTTGTAACTGCCAACCCAGACAAGGTGCTTTTATGGTTAGTGTCGTTTTCTACCTTCCCCTTCCCCAAGCATGATAATTTTGAAAATTTGCTTGCTGTGTGAATTGACAATGAAGCCAAGCACTTTTACTGACAAACCTGGAACTGTATAAGTGGGCTACATAGAGTACCACTGTGCAGTGTTAAGCATAATGATTGGAATACAGTATATATGTGTATGTGCATTTAAATGCAGCTTTAAGTCCTAACAGTGAAATACGTTACAAATTATGGATGCCCCTCTAAAAAATGAGTCTATTACAGTTGCTCTTCATCATAAAGACAAATTCATGCGTTTCTTTTTGCAAAGAAAGTTATCATGTTTTGCCCTAAGAATATTTATTACTACAAGGATGTGCCAGTTAAAGTGCTCAACAGGAAATATGACAGTTTAAAAGCATTGTAAAACTTACATAGCTTACTTCTTTTTCTAAAGTGCAACAAGGATGAATAGAATGGGCCAAGGTATGACAATTAATGGTTCTGCATGACCTAGCAACTGCTGTGGGTTTCCTTCTATAACTTTGTCCTTGTGAAAACTTGTGAAATTAAAAAAAAAAAAAAATAGTTACAAACTTTTTTCAGTTATTGGTTTGTTTGTTTGATTGGTTGTTTTGTTGGTTTTCTTTTGCCTTTTTTTCCTTCCAAACCAGAAGTAAAACTGGCTGCTGCTGCTGCTGTTGCTCAACTCTGTTTTATTTTTTTATCCTCTCATCTGCTTGCCTTTCTAATTGCACGTGTCCTTTTGTAAAAACTCAGGTTCCTGATCAATGAAGATGCCTACCCTAGTGCAGATATGACTTTAATTTCCCATTCTTCATTCCAAATCCTTTCCTCCCTTCCCATCCCTACTCTCCTGTCCCCTGTGTATGTTCATGAGCATCCTTTTATGTTGGCAATATTGACTCAAGATAGTCAAGAGCAGTTATGCATTTTGGAAGAATGTTAATGGCTTTGACACCAAAATGCTTTTCCATTAATGTTTTATCTGTTTTCCATTTAGCAGAGGAAGGAAGGGTGTTAATATGAAGCCACTTGTCACATACTACATAATGATTTTATAAAAAAAAATAGTTTTTGTATAACTGCGCAGCTCAAATAGAAAGAATATAAGCAGTATACATTAGAGAAGCAACTTGTCTACTTTGTGAGCAACAGAAGAAGACTAATATAGATGCTTATATGAGTATACTAATGAAGTTAGGAGGCTGGCTGTTACAAGTAGAGGAATGTTAAATCAACTATGTTGCATTGTCAAAATTTTTGATAATGAAAAGTAACAGGATATCTCCTATTCAGAAACCTATCCCAAGTCAAACATTCTTAGTAACTACCCTGGTTAGTTTCTGAAAGTGGAAAAGCAGCACCAATGTCAAGAGATGACATTTTAGAGCTTTAAATGGAGGTCCTGCCAGTTACTTAAGTCCCAGAATGGTTTTGACAATGTAAACTAGATTCTTAGTAAGTTTATCAATCTGAGTGTGAATTACAAAATAACATGTAGCAAACCTTCAAGTTCTTGGCATGGGTTCTCACTTGGCTTAAACTGGCAGTCAGGCATTTTCCAGTGAAATTCCTATTGTCAAAAGTAATAATTTTGCTGGTTTAAAAAACGAAAAATCGTCAGGAGCAAGTCCAGCATAGCTTTTTTTTGTCCAAAACTTTAGTTACCTTGAACCAAAATAAAGACCTTCACAAAAAGTAAGAATAGTTTTTCTCTGCCTACAAATTACTTGCTGCTGCTACTTGTAAAATATTTGTCTGCCAGAGAATTGCTGAGCAGGTGGGTGAAGAAACTTTTTTTGTTTTTTTTCATATAGGAAGAAATTGCACAGGAGAATTTTCAGCTTAGCTATAAACAAGGTGCCTATGTGGAGGGGGGG